GGGAAGGAGTGCCGGGGGGTCACTTTAGCGAGCGGCCAGGCGGCCGGCCGGCCGGGCGGGCGTGCACACGCGCGTGCCCAGGGCCCCCGGTTCCCGAGGACGCCGGCCCCAAACATCTGGGGGGGGGGCCTCGCGGGGATGTGTGGGGCGCGGGCGGCCTCTCAGCTGTAGCTGGCACCGGGAGATGCCTGGTCTGGGTGCCGAGAAAAGAAAAACAATGATCAGGCGTCCTGGAGGGAAAGGAGGCCGCGAAGGAAAAAAAAAACATGCATATGGATCTTATTCCGTGAGCGCCCCCCCCTCCCTGGCTCGCGGCTCTCGGCCTGGGAGCCGCCCCCCTCCCCCGGGGGGGGAAGAGGCAAGGTATGTTTGCCCTGTCTCTCTGGCCGGGGGGAGGCCGGGGCGTCAGCCAGGGACGCAGGATGCAATCATTGAGTACATCATTCCGCCCCTCCCCCCTCATATACTTGGAAGCAGAGGCGCACGGGGGGGACGTTGCCAGCTGCCGGGGGGTGTGAAAGTGGGCCGGCGCCCGGCCGAGTGCGCCAGATGGTCTGCTCGCAGCAGCCAGCCGCCCCCCCCCCCCCCCCCCAAGCCCCCGGGCGGCTGCCCAAAGGGGGAGGGGGCCGGATCGTGAGCCCTGGACGCCGGGCTCCCTGAGAGGGGGAGGCTGCAGCGCCCCCCCCCCCCCCCCTCCAGGATCGGCGTGGGCCGGGCACCGCGCCGCGCCCCCCCCCCCCCCCCCCGACAGGCACGCCGTTGTTTCCCCGTCCGCCCCTCCGCCCCCCACTCTGAGTTGCCTCCGGGAATGGGGTGCGCGCCAGCGCTCGGGCCGACCCGGTGGGGCCCCCCCTCGGCGCTCGCCCGGGCCTGTTACGAAAATAAATCCCCATCCGCACCCCCCCCCCCCCCCGCGGAACAATACACATAGCCGTTTCCCGCACCACCCCCGGCCGCGAGGGCAACAGGGGGAGGTGGGGGCCGGCAGGAGAGCGGGGCCGGGGGCGCCCCTTCGTCACCGCCCGGCGTTCGCCCCGGTCCCCGGGCGTTTCGAAGTGCCCGAGAAAGAGGGGCGGACCGCCAGAGGAGACATTGCCGACACGGAGACACAGGCAAAGGGGGTGCCGCGGAGACGCCAGGAGGGCGAGGGAGGGAGAGAGATACCCACGCATGGCGCGGTCACACATGGCGGTCAGGCCCGGCCGGGCCCTCCGAGCGGCCGAGCGGGGGGGGGGGCTCGTCTGCGCGTTCCGCCCCCCCCCCCCCTTCCCCCCCTGGCGCAGGATATGGCGGAGACATTTGGACGAGGCGCGGTGATATCACCCGGCTGCCCCGGCCCCGGCCGCGGGCCCGGGCCTCCTCGACCGCCTGTGACATCAGGGTCCCCCCCAGAGCGGCACCGTGCCCGGGGGCCGGCGGAGCGGGGTTCAGATACCAGGCATGGTCGGGCGGCCGCCGGGGGACGCTCACGGGCACCCCCCCCCGCAGCCTTGCGCGCGCGCGCGCACACACGGCCTGCGCCCTATCGCCCCATATTTGCGTGTCGTTGTCTTTCACGCCCGGCCGCCGGGGGGGGGGGGGAGGGCGGCCGTGCACCGACCGGCACTTGCCACCTCTGCGCGGGGGGGGGGGGGTGACCTTGGGCTACGCCGCCGCCGCCGCCGCCGCCACCCATCAGGTGCCAGCGTTGTTGTAGCCCGCCCTGGCCCCTCGCCGCGGCCCCCCTCCCTGGGCGGAATCTATCGCCTTATCTGCGATCCGGCCGGGGATCGGCCAGGAGCGGGGACCGACATGCGCGTGTTCCTCGCGGCCCTGGTGCTGGGCCGGCCCCCGGCCAAGCCTTGATTGCCCCTCCCCCCTCTTTTCCATGGCAGCCCGGCCACGCCCGGCGGTGCCCCCTCCCGCCGCCGCCGCCGCCGCCGCCGCCGCCGGGACAGCATGGGTGCCCCCGAAGAAATACAGCCCTGCTTCCTCGGGCCCGCGGCTGCGGCCAGAGCCCCCCGCCCCCCCCC